TGATCTTGACTGCAAGAGGGACATCAGGGGAATCTGCTTCTAAACAGCCGAGCCCAGAAGGCACGTGGGCTGCAGATGGCTCACTCCCCCTCCTCACTGAAACATGTCCAGAGCCACTGCTTCCCCTGCATCCCCTGGCCAAGCCCCAGGATAAATACAGCATTATCAAAATGGTCCCTCTTACTGGCTTCTCACCAAGAAAATTCCACCCAAAGCGTACAGAAATATCCCCCTCCTCCCATCACCAGATTAAATCCAAGGGCAGCCTAAAACCACGGGATGATCCCTTAATCAATAAGCAGCAGCAATAAACTACCAACACCATTCGCATAACCAGTTCCTTATTCCCCTCTCCCTTTCTGCAGCGGCAGCACACAGCTTACTTAGACTGCAGCAGATGCTGGACATTTGTTCTGGCACCAGACACTGTCCTGGGACCCTTCTTTCTTCCCTCCCCAAGCCCAATCAGCTTTGCAGTTCAAGGAATACTAATGCTTCCCTCAAACCCTCACTGAAAGACAAGGCTGCATTCTTCTACTCCCAATCCACAAGGTAACTGTTTAGACGACTCAACTTGCATATGTAAATTGAATTCTTTAGAAACCAGAGTGCAGCGGGATTCCAGACAGAGTGCTTATGGGATGCTCTGGGACTTTTTCTCTCTTCTGCACATATTTTTCTGGGGAGGAAAACAGCATTGCTGGCTAGAAATGGGTGGGAAATCGTTTCCCATTCTCTGAACCTTTTCTGAGATTTCAGCAAGTTTCCATTCTGTGCTGGGACAAAGAAAACAACAACAAAAAAAGATCTTTCAGATTTTTTAAGGAAGCGACTACAGGGCGCGCCGTCTGCCCAGAGTAGCCAACCGCCGGCTTGTTTGGAAAGTCCTCTTCAATCCAGCATATCCAGCCTGCAAAACCCCAGCTGCTGGTCCCTCAAGCCCTAGGTGAGTCACTTCTTTCCTAGGTGGCTGTGAGGCTGGGCTCTCTCCATCCATCCTGATGGAGCAGGCACTTCACATAAACCTGCTGCAGGAGAGTCCTGAGCTCACCTCTCACAGACACATGCCTGCTGACTGCAGTAACCACCGGGCTGCACTGCCAGCCCTGCTCCTTACGCCGATGGCTATTAAATCACTTACTTGGAGTAGAAAGGCTCCAACAACACTGGCTGAAAGAGGCCAGTGAAGCTGAATCACTGTTTGACTTGGGGGAATAAAGTCCTGCTTGATGATTTGCCCACATACCAGGCAACCGTGCCAGCCGCTAGCCGGTTGGCTCTCCCCGTTGGCTGAACAAAGCCTTTTCCCAGTTAAACTGCTGGTCATGATCAAGGCATTCATGACTGTCGTGCACTAGGCAGCAAGAAACAGGGCAGGGATCCCTCCTCTAGCTCCACAACTGGATGAAATATCTTAACGGCACTGCAGGGTCATCCCCACTGTTGGTGAGGTTACACACACACATCTACGCAACCCTCCTGACATGAGTGACTATCTCTCTGCAGCGCTGCTTGGACATAAATTGAACTCGAGACCTTTTTCCCCCATTCCCTGACTCAGCATGGACAACCCACTCATACTTTTGACACTGTGCATAACAGAGCTGATGGACTTAAAGATGATCTCTGCTTCCCACCCTGACACAAAAGTCCTTATTCTGAAGATCAGGGTCTCGTTCCCAGAGCTGCCACTGCTCTTCTCACTTATCATTTGATCTCCTTTCTCTTTGGGGTCTCCAGTGAGGAAGTAGTTTTGCTCTGTAAAGTACTTTGAGATCTTCTGATGTACGGGGCTATAACAGTATGACCATTGAGTCAGTCTGGATACCATCTTCTAGAGAGCAAATGGCACCACCTGAAGGTAATCACAGGAGCCCTTGTGGGGAAAAAAGAAACGTTGGATGTACTAAACATGCTCAGAAAGTTGTAGTCAGCTCCAGGTTCATCTGTGCTCCTCACTAGTCTTTGCTGCCCCAGGGATACTGTGCAACCACTTTGTCACCTGGAATAATCCACCATGTGGCACCCACTTCTAGAATAGAGATGCAAAAGATTGTTTTGATTTGGTGACTAGATCCTGTAAATTAATCTCAAAAGTGCCCCAGCAGCAATGTTGTGACATTGGAATGCACTTAACTTCTGGTTTGAAAGTGTAAGATTTCCACAAAATGGACTTAAGGCTGGATTCAAACTCCACTCTTGGACTTAAGAGTCCGTGTTTGGATGCCAGAGTGAAACAGGACAGCTAAATAAAGTGTTATTTAGTCTCCACTGAAACTAGCCTGAAGACCCCAGCAGTCTGGTGTGTAAAACTTAAATTTATTCTACTTCAGTGGTTTAGCTACTTCTAGCTGCACAATGAATACTCTGCTAAAGATATGCAGCTCTAGGGCACCCTGGCTCAGTCACCACTTAAACACTCAGCAGATCTGGTCGGTACCAACAAGCTCCAGCTGACACTTATGTCCTATTGCTTTCCTGACCCTAAACACCTGATGGGATGGAAAAACACTGAGAAACACAGAGGCACTGAGAAATTCTCCAAGAAATGCAATTACAGCAGCCAGAAGGGCCCAGGTATGTGTCTTTAGAAGAACTACCATACTCAGTGTCTAGAGCTCCGATGGGCCTGCAAATCTTTGGAGGTGATGTGACACTGAATAGGCCAGTTTTAACATATGCTTATCTGCTACTTTTTATTTTGGAGGTGCCACTGTTATCACAGATGTGTGAAGGTACTGCATGTGGTTTAACAGGAGTTACCTGCATTTTCAGCAAATGAATTCTTGTAAAGTTCTGATGCTCTGGGGCTCCCTGGGAAGAAAAGGGCTCTCTCAATGATAGATGCTGCGAGGTGGTGACTCACTGGGGTTTTATGCGTGCTACTGATATTCTTGTCTCAGAAAAGCACCATAAGAGGATGCTTTATTAAATTATCTGTTCAACTATTTACTTAGGCTCTGCTGATTTAAATTTTTGAAATAACTTTCTAAAAAGAGAGGGAGACTCTGGTTCCAAGGCCAGCATTTCAAAGACATCCAATTTAGTCTCTGTCTTGAGAACACACAATTCTCTCTTCTCCCTGGCTGATGGATAAACCCAAACACGTAGACCAGAGGCTGGCACTGGGCTGCTACTCCTTTGTACATTCTTAAAAAGTAGTCTTCTGGTGTCTCATGTCGCATCCTCATGACATTTTTAAGTTTTCATCTCTCTTGGAGCATGTGAAGGCACAGTAAAGGCTTTCCAGTTACTCATCAACAAAGCTCTGCTGAAAGATCAAAATAAATGCTTGGTGAGCCCTTGCTTTGCAGTAAATAATGGTTATGACCTTGGCTGCATGAAACCGGGACCTCTGATACGTGATTCACTCCAGAGCTGCGTACAGGAGAAGGCGAGCAGGAAGACAGTCTTCTGCCAAGGGGAGTATCTCAGATGACTTCAGATAAAGACTGATCTTCAGCAAACCAGAGACGAGCATCTTGGTGTGTTGAGAGTCAGCCTACGCTAGCATGAAAACAGTTGTGTTTGCTTCCCGTACTGGCTGTTTATCTGGCGCTTCAGCGAGGCACTGCTGGTCAGAGATGGACTAATAAGGAGGCAAGGAGGAAGGAGTCTTGTTCATGAGCCCGAGGAGAACTTGGCAGGGCTGGTTTGCACCCATCTGCTATAACCACAGCCATTAACCCTTTGGAGGGAAGACAGAGCGGTCTTACTGACCAGCTGCTTTGTAGCAGAAAAGCCCAGAATTTATTTTGGGTGTTAGAGGCAAGACGGTACCGAGGAGCAAGTGATCTCCCTTTCAAACTGGGATTCAGGTTCCTGATTAATCTAGGAATTGGCAGAAGAAAATCACTATTCAGGTAAAACTTCCGCAGCAGCTGCAGATGAGAAATTGTTTTTCTGTTAGAAATATATTTAAGCCCCCATCACCGAACAGCCAGAACAGCTTTTATCATTCTAAACCAGTCACTTTATGAAGCAGCAAGACCGCACAGTCTTTCATCTTAAAAGCTCAACAACAGAAACTTTGAAGCGGTAATGAAACGATGCAGATCTCCACTCCAAAAATTATAATGGTCCACAGGCAGATCGGGAGGCAGCCCAGGAAACAGAAGCCGGGATCTGAAAGTCGAGCCGAGACTTCTTTTTCTTGCAGCAGAAACAATCCCCAAACTGCCCTCTGGAATATCTGTGCAACCCCAGGTCTTACAAGATGTGGCATACAGTGAAAGATACTTCCAACAGCTCTAAAAATCATTTGGACCTCAGATACGCTTCCAGATAGACATTACCCATCTCAACAGGGCAGCAGTCATGCCGCTGGGGTGACTCAGCACCACAGTGCCTAATGTCTTATTTTTTCTTCATTTAGCCAGGAGTGAGAACTTTCTGGGCTTATAATGCCCGGTACTAGCATAAATACCACATTCCTGCATTTTTTTTCTCCCACAAAGTGCTAACATATCCTCTCTGCTGTGGCTCCCCGTTAACATATTTTTTCTCCTTAGGGACTCAAGAGCTCCCAACCAAGACGAGAGGCCCATCGTGCCAAGCACAGCTGTGCCTGGAAATGGCCAGTGTTTGCCCCAGACACCAGCCAGGTGAAACATGGGGAGCTGGAGACAGAGCTTGCCCCCAGGCACGCTGTGGTCACCTGTGGCCAAGGCAGTGGGATGGCAGCGATGCCCTGCCCGCTGGACCAGCCCATCTCCTACCCATGCAGCAGCCATGCCATCCTCCCAAACAGGCCACAACGTATATATTTTAAATTATGTATATTATTATAAATTATATATAAATTTTGTATATTTTAATTATGTATATTTTATAGATATATATGGAATGAGGTGACCTTTTAAGCCAAAAATTATAGCGCGGCACCCGTGGGTTTTGGCGGGGCAGAGTGACCACGTATAGCAACCTCTACCTGGAGGACAGTCCCATCCATCTGTGCCAAAATTTCAGCCGTCCCAGGGAGGACGCGGACCGCTACTCACCATCGACGGGGCTGAGGTAATCGTGGAGGTGGGCTGTGCTGGCTGCTCCCCCGCTCTGCATCAGGAGGTCCCCGTAGGGGTTCGGGTGGCCGGCCATCAGCGTCATTTGGTGGTAGTAGTCGGCGGGGTTGGCTCCCGGTGGTGGTGGGGGCAGCCCGAAGAGACCTCGCTCCTTCAGGTGCTCGTGGGCCACTGCCGGAGCCGCGGGTGAGGAGAAAAACATGGGGAGAAGGTTCCCACCGCAACGTTAGACCTCGGCGCTGACGTTGGCGGCCCCGTCTCCCCCCCGCGCCCCCCGCCAGCCCCGCGTAGGGCTCTCGTGACGTGCGCTTGGGCGTGCTTCTGCGGACAAAAGAAACTAAGCTGGGGCCTCTGCATTCCTCCATTTCCGCAAATTTATAAACAATCTCTCGTTCCCCCTCCTAATAATCCTCCGGTTCGGACGCAGCCAGCACCCCGGGGAGGGGGGAGAGGGCCCAGCCCCGCCGGCAGCAGTAACCCTGTCAGCATTAACATCCCTGCCTATTAGGAAGGAAAGACAAATGCAGCCCAGTTCCCGATAGCAGCGCGAGGAAATTAAAGCCAAGGTCTAATGCATAGAGCTAGGTTTAGTGTCTGGCAGCATAAAACCATTTTGGCTGCCAAAGCCAATTACGCTCACTTTCTCCCAGCTGTAATTTTTCAAACCTGCCTCCCCACCCGCTTGCCCCATTAACTTATTTACCACCGCCTTAAGAAAAAAAAAAAAAAAAGAAAAAAAAGAAAATAAAAAAGAAAATAAAAGAATAGCAACCCAAAACACAATGCCTTTTTTTTTTTCATAGCAAATAACGAAACTGGCATTGGAAGGGAAGGATGGGGAAGAGCAGGCGCACGTCAGCCATCAGACCTCTCCGCGGCGGGCGGCTGGGAGTTCGGATGACGTTTTGGGGGAGGGAAGAAGCTGCATGCATCTCCCCATCACCCTCACAGTGGTTTGGGTTTTTTTAGCCACAGAAGATGGTTTTATGCTGCTAGAGACTAAGCCAGGGGCCTTGTCACTCTCTGGTGTGCTTTGCTTTGAGGGGTTGAAGGCCCCACAGCAGCTCAGGAGCCGAGAGATGCTGGGGTTTGCCAGGCGTGCAGAGACCGGGTCCCCAAACCCCGGCTGCTCCCTGGGCACTGAGCCAGCCGCCGGCAACCGTCTAATGAGGCACTTCTGATGAAGTCAGTCACGACTTGCACCTCCCCAAATGAAAACAGAGTTGTGCATTTTCCCTTCTCCCTGCTTGGCTGTTTTTGCCCCCAGCCCCACAACATGGGGTCTGCTGGGGCTGGAAGAGCATCACCACCACCTCCACGTGGACCAAGCACCAGCTCCCCCCACACCCTCACCTTCCCCAAAAGCTGCTTCAGGGCAGCTCAGGAGTAAGGAGGGAGAAAGTACGGCCCGTCTCCTTCACCCGGCAGCCATCCTGCCCCAAGACACAAAGCCAACAGGGGATAACCCAGTCGGCGTTGCCTCATCACTGGAACACCAGTCCCAGCCAGGACAGGCAGCCGGAGTGACTGTGACCCTCTTTGGGGGAAGCAGGGTTCCCAGTAGACACATAAGACTGGGGAAGCTTGTAAGAGAGCTGAGAGCGCTGCAGAAAGGAACGTACTTTAAGCAAAATATTTATAATATGATCCAGCGGTAATAGCTATTCTCACGCTCTGCTTTCTCAGTGCAATGATGCAAAACAAATGTGTAGTTAAAGGCGGGGGGGAAGAAATAAAAAAAAAAAAAAGCCCCAAAAGAAAAAGAGACAGCTCTCCCACTTCAGAGAGCAGCTGCGGAGCCTTTGCAGCTGTAAATCCTCGGCTTTTAGGGAATTTCAGTGCTGGTGAGCTACAAACTCGCTGCGTTCCCGGTAGCACAGCGTCTTACCGTCGGCGGGGCTGAGGCCCCTGGCAGCGGAGATGACGGAGAGCGTGGGGCTGCCGTGGACGGAGCGGAGGTAGTGCTCCATGTGGGGTGCCACGTAGGGGTGCGGCGGGCTGAAGGGCGACTCGCCGGGCCCGGCGGGGTGAGGAGACAGGCGGATGAGGGAGATGTCGGAGATGACGGGGCTGCCGCTCAGAGGAGGAGGCCTGGGAAGGAAGCAGAGACACGCCGTCACCCACAGCCACCCGGGGCGGGCACGGCCGCCGGCCACCCTTCTCCCTCCCACCCTACCGCCTCGGCCTGCGAGGGAGGAGTTTGAGCACATGGTGGGAAAAACCTCCCCTCTTGCCATACGTGGAGCCTCAAGCCAGTCCGAGCTTTCTGTGGACCCACACCCACATTGCACTAAACGTGTGTTTGTGAAAAGGGGCATGAGCTGCTTGGGGCAGTGCCTGCATGTAGAGCACAAGGAATCACAGAACTGTTGGAGTTGGAAGGGACCTTCTAGAGACCATCTAGTCCAACTCCCCTGTCAAAGCAGGGTTGCCCAGAGCACATTACTCAGGACTGCATCCAGGTGGGTCTTGAAGATCTCCAAAGAAGGGGACTCCACAACCTCCCTGGGCAGCCTGTTCCAGGGCTCTGTCATCCTCACCGTAAAGAAGTTCTTCCTCATGTGCTAGAGATCTCACCCTGTCTCTGGCAGGGGGAGCCTGGCTACACGAACTGGTTCAAGGCAAACCCAGGGTTTGCAAGCTCCTCGCTGCCCCTGGGTATCCATCCAGATGTTTAGTGCCCCGGCACAGGGCTGCCTGTGAAAGGATGTAAACGACGCAAAAAGTACTTATAGAACCTTGAGGCGAGCAGTGCTCTGCTCAGCTCAGCAGCCCTCCCCGCCAGCGTCCATCACGGCTTGCACAAACCTCCCTGACAGGTCGGCGGTACGGTTCAGAGGGCAAAAGTTCAGGAGAGGTTTTATTGCATGCTTTCTGGGGGCCACCTCTGTTAAGTCTCTCAGATCTTCCTCAGACCAAGCGTTACCTGAGAAAGAAGTCAGTAAATGCTGAGGGATTCAGCAGGTAAGAAAAAAAGTCACAGGCATGTTTTTGGCATTTGAGCGGTTTTTGCAGGGTGAGCAAGGATGGAAGAGAAAGTCTACAGACGTGTCCCAGGCACATCTCCTGCTGTACCCTTCAGCCTCTTAGACAAACTGCAGAGGCTGCAAGGAGAAAAGAAAAAGTTGCACACCCTGACCTGAGAAGCAGAAAATCTGAGCTAGACACCAAAAGAGGCAGAACTGTCATTAGGCAAAATGAACGAGCAAAATCTGCTTTGCATTAGCGCTCTCTGTACTCACAGACTGATGAAAACGGAGCTGGTGTGGATATGCAGGTCACAGCAGGGACGGCATTCATCCCTGGCTGGGTGCTTTGGCCAAGCTGAGGGAGATGTACGTGCACCCCATGGGGCTCCACCCCAGGCATGGGAGACCCCGGGGATTTGGGGTTTTGGAGGTCAGAGATCTGGGATGTGGGCTGAGGTAAGGGACAGTATTACAAAGGTCCTTACCTAAGAATATCCAAATATGCCATTAGCGAGAGCATGTAAGATCCGCCTCTCCATGCACAGACAACCACAAACACGAGGGTCTGAGCAGTTTAGACATGCCACCTGCACCTCAGGATCTCAGTCCCACCCTGCCTTATCAAAAGTTCAGGTGCATTTTAATTTATTTGTAATACTTGCATATCAACAAACCCACACAGAAATGTAATATAAGCTTTGCAGACTTATTCAGCAGTTTACGAGCATGTTTGTCTTTGTTTGATCTTCCGCGTGTTTCTCTGTCTTCCTGATAAATTAGTAAACCTTGTGGCTTTTTGAACACTTTCTGCTGATGGGTAGTAAATTAAATGCCTTTTAAAATATTTATAGTTCAAAGCACTTTCCTGTAGCGATGCACTCCGTGGCTCACTGGTGTGAAATACAAGGCAGTGAAAACCTATCAGATATACAGGACTTATGGGTGTGTGCTGCTACCGACACACACACACGTGTGCTCCTCGAACCGACACCGGGGTTTCACTAGGGGAACACCCGCCAGCATCCAGCCTGTTTTCTTTGATGGCACTGAAAGGCAAACTTATGATGGCATGGCCATTTCGGACCTCCTAACCTCCCCACCTGCATGGCCGTGGCATTTTGTTACCGAAGTTATGGGGTGGCCAAAGTCCCTCTCCGGGTCGCCCTCGGGTGCCTCTCGCCATGACGTCAGCCCCGGCGGCAGCAAGCTCAGGAAAGTTGCCGCCGAGGCCGCCGGGGCTGGTTTCTGTCGAGGCTGCTAATAAAGGCGGCCGAGCACGGAGCCGACCAATTTATTTCTACCGGGGAGGAGGGAGAAGTGAATCAAAGTCTCTGTTCCAGATTTAGTTTCAATTCATTTCTAATAATCTCCACCGCCTCATCTGGAAAAAATGAAACAGGATTAAAAAAAATGATGTCATTAAGAAAACATCTGACTAATTTTTCTTCTGACGAAGACTTAATATAAGTGAGGGGGGATGTAAATTAAAAGCAGCCCCAATCTTCCCTGGGCCACAGAGCCTGCCTTAATACATAAGCCATGAAAGAAATTTTCTTACATATACAATAAGTTCCCTCTTTCATCAGTACTCACAGCTTCTCCCAAAAGGGTTGTGAACTTCTTTGATGCAGGCTTGAAACTATGTATTACCAGGTTTACGAGCCTTCGGAGCCTCCGCTGATCAAACTGTGAGGCCGGCATCTAAAATGTGTATAACAATATGAAGGGTTTGCTGCTCATTTTCTCTGTGCTAAATTGGGCAGAAATGCCGGAGTCCCTCAGAACAGGAAAACTCCACCCTGGCCAAAAAGGTAACACTGGGAAAAAGATCAAGAATTCACCCAAAATGCATGCAGCTGGAGGCCTGGGCGGTGTTTCAACATGAGGCCGACTGTGTATGTAAAGATGGGGTTGGAGAGCAGACTTCTCCTTATGGCTCTGCTTAAAGCCTCTCCTTGCTACATCTCTGCACCTGGGGACTAGGACAGACGTTCTCCCAGCCAGGTCTGGCTCCTGACAGCCCTCCCAGGTTGGGGTCACCTCTCACCGTTGTACACCGACACTTCCAGCAAAGCACCACCCCACAGTCCAGCATATCTCCAAATAACGTGGCCTCCAGTAGGAGCCTACCAAGAATGGCTCACTCATTTGGAGGGACCCTCTGCTCCTAACTCCACAAAAGTTTCATTTTCATATTTTTTGTTTTTTTTTTTTTCCCCCCCTGGCATTACTTCTTATCTAATCCCCAAGCCCTGGGTTGTGCCATCACATCGGCACTCTGCAAACACACAGCGAGAGGCAGCCATAGCCTCGCAGGTCTGCTCCTGGACCTGCAAAGGGACAACAACTCACTGCCGTTTTTTAGAGGCAGTGGCTTAAATGGGAGAGACATGAAGCAATGCCGGGCGAAGGCAGCTCTGCCCCCACCCCCTGGCTCACCTGCGAGGAAATCAGGGCTCCCCATCCCCATGCCACGAACCCCGCAGTGGGACAATCTCCAGCTTGGTGCTGTGAACCAGCCCAGGCAACGGTGCCGTGGTGCCACAGCTGGGTTTCCCAGCATGTCCGTAGAGCTCCCTGCCCAGATCCCCATTATACATACATCATCCCCTGCTCCCTCCCTGGATCCCGCAGATGGCATAAGGAAAACACCCCAGTGCCTGAGGGAGAGCTCATGGCTCTGTTGAAGGCAACACTCTAAAAATCTCACTGCCTGCAGCGGGACGAGGGATTTCACCTGACCACATATATTTCTGAAGAAACTGAGATTCTGGTTTTCAAATAGGCTAAGGGAATTGGGTGTCCAAATGCCATTAAATTTAATGGGAGCCAGGGGCCTGTTTTCCCCGCGGCTCCAGCGAGAAGCCCAGGCTCTATAATTAATGCTCAGGACTTGTAGAGCAATTTGCATCTCTGACGAAGCATGCGAGCCTGGATTCATTTCCTACCCCACCCAGGAGAGGCTCTCCCTTCCCCACTCTCTAACAGAGGGAGACACTACCTGACCCCACCAAGGGCTGTGGGTCCTCATGGTGATGCTGGGGGCATGAATGCTTCTGAAGGCTTCACAGAATAGGTCTGTACCGATGCAGTGGATAGCCATCCTCAGAGAGCAGAAACTCTCGCACTATTTATCTGGCTCCAGCTGCCTGCAGGGTGGGACCGTGGGGCAGTGCTGGAGCCATCAGCATCCAAGATGTGACACACACCATTGGTGGGACACTAGGAGATTTTTGGTAGTTTCTCAGGAGCTAGTCACTCCTTAACTGTTCTTCATCAGGAGAAAGAGATCTGCTTAACTTTCCCAACGCCTGGGGTTTTGCTGAAAGGAGTTGCCAGCTTGTCCAAAGATCCACAAAGGCTGAGGGAAGGAGCTGGTAGTTTTTCTTTGGAATGTAAGGCAAAAAAAATTCAGCCCGTAGTTTTCAGAGAAGTGGACTAGCACGTCCCTGGTTGTGCCTCGGAACCTGGCAGGCTGCTGCTCACAGGAGGTGTATGTGTGTGCTCTGCTCAATGCATCACAGCTGGACACAGCGCTGCAAAAGGATCCTTGTGGTCCCATGGTGGAGGAGCAGCATCACCTCTAAGGAGCTGGGCTGGGCTCCTGGGAAGGGAAACCCCTCAGAGGCTGGAAAAAAATGGTGCTGATTGCTATGAACAGGGCCTCAGGGAGACTTTTTCTCATCCTGCCTTCTCCCCCCACAGTCAGGCACCAGTAACCCCAAAATCTTGCATGGTGGAGATGCAGCACCATCTCCCTGCTGCTACATGCAGGTCTGGAGCCTCTGCAAGGGGCATCCAGCAATGAATGCAACAGTTAAAGAAGTTGCACATTTCTGAAATAATCTCCATCAGCTAAATAAAACCCAGGAAAATGGGGACAATTAAGCAGCACTAATGTCCCATGACTAGTCTAAATTAATACTTAGATGCCAAATACATTCATTCAGCGGAAAACAAAGGAGTGAATACTTTTCCATATGCTTAATGGAATATGGACACTTGCAGACAATTGTTTTGCTGTACAATAAAAAAACTGCATAGCTGCTACAAAGAGATGGAAGCTAGGAACAGATCTACAATCCCCTCTAAACCCCACAAGGTATTAAATAAAACATCCTT